CGGGGAGGGGGGGGTGAGTGGGAGAGAGAGAGAGAGAGAGAGAGAGAGAGAGAGAGAGAGAGAGAGAGAGAGAAAGAAGCAATGTAGAGAGCAGAGTCTCGGAGATAGTTTGCCAGGGAGTAGGCAAAGAAGCTTGAGAGAGAGAAGGTGTGCTCAAGGTGTTGGCAGAAGAAACTGGAGTGTTCGATATCATAAGATAAAATAGACAAGAAGACCAAATATTTTGTGGAGAGGCCACGGGATAATAGGGATTGCCAATATGTCTGCAGACACAGTCATTACTGAAAGTTTTGGTGGGAAGTGCTTCAGTGAAGTGGCAGGTGAGGCAGACAGGTCATTGACGTCGACCACTTGCAGAACAACTGGATAGATAACATGACTGTAAACTCTCCTGTGAAGTTTGGAGGTTAAAGGAAGAAGAAAATGAGTCTGAGAGACGATGGAACATTTTTGGTTAAAGATTAGCATTGATCTGAAGACATTTCTAATATTTAGAGGATCAAGCCAACAGAGAAGGAGAAGATGAATGTGTCGCGAGGACAAATCATAAAGCCACTTCCCAGTGCAGATGGGTCAGAAAACAGGAATGGCAAGGCAAGGATGGATGCAGGTGGGGAGAAGCAGTGGGAAGGTGAGTGAAGGGTTCTCGTGCAGGTGTCCCAAGTCCATCGGCAAGCGGGCGGGTGCCCTGGGACTAGGGAAGAGCATCCGCAGTTTGATGGCTGGAAGATGCTGAGAAACAGTAGGTGCTTCCATTGCACACCTACGTCCACTTCGGAAATTCTGGCTTCCTTCTCATTTGCTAGAAAGGTGTCTCCATGGTGACCGAAGCAGAACAGAGGGCTTATTACCTGGACCATTTCTCAGCCCTGACTGCCCATTAAAATTGCCTGTGTTGAGGGGGCATTTTGTTTAAATGACTGGTAACCTGGTTCCACCTTTAAAAGTTCTAAATTAATTCATCTGGGGTGGGGGCCAGACATCAGGAAGCTCCCTGGGGAATCCTAATTTCCAGCTTCGAACACTATTGGTCCACAGAAGCATAACAACACGTGGATAGAGTTATCATGTGTCAATGTGATATTCGGCCGGGATGCTTCCAAATTATCAGGCACGTACAACGTACAGGGTGTTCTGTCCATCACTGAAAAGGGAAAAAGAGAAGAATTTTGAAAGGATCAGTGAAAAGTCCAAAGATTATGAGAAAATACAAAAATTGAGAAATTTAAAGGAAGAGTGATGTTGATCCACCCACTCCCTCATTCATCCCTATGTATTCAATCACCCCACAGCCCTCCGAGTACCTACTGCGTGTTAAACACCACACTACTGCCAAAAAGAAAAGAACAAAATGCTTTGCTTCTAGCAGCCTAGATTTAGTTGAGGGGACAGAGGACAAGGAAACTGATGATTATAATTCCACGTTGTTAACACAGGGATAGAAGTGGGCAAAGGCACGTGCACTGAGGATATAGTTGAGGGACAACTTATCCAGGCAGAAGAGGTGGGAGATAAGGTTGGAAACTGAGTTTAAAAGAGAGGAAGAGGGGATGAATTCTGGTGGCATTCACCAAGCTAGACAACGGCACTAGATCAAGGCGGAGGACATGTCCTCAGTACTGGTGTGGCTATAAGAGGTTCCTAGTAGCCTAAGGAATAGAATTACATTATGAAAAGCTGAAACAACTTAATAGAGCTTCATTGTGGAGGTAATGTTAAGGAATATAACCAACCTTAAAGTGTAGTGAATAATTTTTCACTTATTTACTATATCAGGTAGGATCCAGGCAGAAAATGAAAGGCACATCCAAATTGCCTAATAGATATATTTAGTAGCTGGGCTACTTTAAAAGGGATACGTAGGGCGTAGAGACATAACGAGGACCCGGAAGTGAACCAAATCCATATAGAAAAATGATAATTATAGAACTAAACATTATAAAGTTGGTTCCACTCAGGTATTCCACAGAGTTCTACGTTTCATACAGCTTGGTTTTCTAATAATGTGTAAGGCCCTGTGAGAGATCAGTGACCACTCTCTGGACAGGGCGCCTTTTTCTCATTAACTCGTGTAATGGGTATTTGAGGGGCCTTCATGGAATTTATTTACTGTCCGTTAGATGTTGTCAAACGCTCATGTTCTCTGGTAACTCTACATATGTAATTCGAAGGGCTCGAAGTCAGGCCCGCTTGCTTGAAATCCAGTTTTGTTTTTTCATTTTATAATTAACGATTTTCACCCGCTGTTTACAAAGGGCGTGAACAATGATGGAAGCATTTAAAATGATAATCTTCCATCGTTTGGAGCAATTTCAAATGAAGGTTGGATTGTTATTGGTGTTCTTGCAGAGTCCTCTTTTCCAAATTCCTACAACGTCATCTGTCCTGACATTATGAAGGGGGGTCGGTCTCTTTGATTGTCACCGGAAGGAACTCAGATGATAGAGTCTGTGTGTCATAAAACTTCCAGAATATTTGTGGGGTGTGTGTGTGTGTGTGTGTG